TTGGGGTTAAAAAACCTTTGTCCGAAATATTCGAACATTTACTTAAGCCTTCTTGTCCGGAATACTGATCATCAACCCAGGGAGATGAAAAATACGTGTATTATTAAAAAACGCTGATCTCTTTTTAGAATATATATAAAAAATGATATAGATCCCGAAATATATTTACTAAAGATACGCATTGTTGATCTTGAGTCTGAGAATGAGAAGCTAAAACAGCTTGTAAAACCTAAAGTTCCTCCCCCACCTATACAAGGAGATGCATCAGTAAAGGAATTAGTCGACCAATCCGATATACATAAGCTCCGTTGTGGGGTATTAGTTCAAGGTCGAGACTCGGTGGGAGAGTATTATTCGAAGATAAAGGGATGTAATGAGATCGTCAAATATAGTGAAGATTTTCTCTGGCATGAATTTATTAAAGGATTGACGCCAGAGAATAAAATATGTGCTGAAAACATTAAATCACGCCCTACTTTTGATGAATTGGTGGAAAGACTAATTCAGGAGCTTAGGGTTAAAGATTATCCCGATCAGTCCGGAGCGGTGATCACTTCACTCAAAAGAAGAATTTGCTGAGCCACAATGCATATACTCCTGTGCGACAAAAATAGGTTGATCACCAGGCAGGGTCTGTACGACATATTAATCTTCGCATATATTCGAAAAAAGAAAACATATTAACCTTTATTCTTTATTTTTTCCCCAAACAAATGTGAGAAAAATGTGAAAGGAAGTCTACATGCAACACAGGACCTACCATATATGCTAATATTAACGCAAAAAAACATATGTTATGAAAGGCTTAGAGGCTCACAATTCCGAGATCGCCAGGCGTAAAACCAACTATGTCTTTCCAGTAGATCTACATGTGAAAAGGTATGAGGATTCCGTTTACATGTGCTTTCATAGAGCTCTTGGCATCATACGACAATGCTAATCACTATTCTTATCTCCTTATCTTTTTTCCCAGCAAGATATAAAGCGTGTAGAGGTATGTGGAAGTTCAGCCAACTTTCCTGCAAAAAAATTAAGGTATATACAGTATATGTTTTTTAATGCGAGTGGGCCAAGCAATTTTCTCACTATAGATCTTGCATTTAGGAAAACAAAATGGCCGATTTCATCGCTCTCAATTGTCTTATCGTTCCTATAGGAAAACTTATGAATATTCCATGCATTAAAGTAATGCAATCGATTACAATTGGCAGAGGTAAACGTTATAGTGATCTCGAGACTGCAATTCAAAGCAGATTGGGGCACCGTTTAATCAAATCCCTCTCAAAATTTATATAATTCAAGCCGGAAGCGGTATTGAAATGGAAATGGACACGGGTGATGATTTTCTTGATATTTTTGATGAGGAACCTAAACCAGAGCACTTCCATTTCACTGTATACCCCAAATAATTTTCTGTATCATATAGCGCTATAGTCGCAATTTTTATGTATTGTAGGCCGACTTGGTCCCTTTGGGACCCTTCCGGCAACTTTTTTTATTTCTTAAATAAAGCATATATTACGTGATCCCGTTCTTGTCGTAAATCTTGAAAAATCTCACGTGTAATGATGTAATATAATCGCCTGACAATCCTGTACTACATTTTAATTGCATATATATTGGGCAAATGCATTATGAATCAATACAAAAAAATCTATCATTTCCACCTGAGCGCTTTACTCCGGAAACCAAAAATACTTTTATATCCATAAACCAGCTTTACCTGTAACTGCATAATTTTTTCGC